AGAGGGGGTAGGATGATCGGTGGTCTGACCGAGGCATTGGGGGTTGTCCCATGCTTTTGATCCATCTTCTGAGACGAAGTTGTTCTCTTCGAGAAGCTTGGCGGCTGTGCGTTGGATGCCGGGGAAATTGCATTATTGGCCGATGATCGGGAGTTGTTTTCGGCTTCGAGGAGCGCTGGGGGAGGAAGACTTGAGATTGGATCGGGGCCGTCAAAGGATTACTGTTTACAAACAGGGCACGCCCATTTACTGTAAAGATCCCGACATATTACTGCCTATTTACATCGGCCTTGCACAAGGGAATTTCTAGGGGCAACAAGGATACAGCAAAAGCCATGGCGATCGCAAACGGCACGAAAGGAATAGCAGCAGCGACGGCAGCGACGGCAGCAGCGAAGAAGACGGCGACGGCAATACCACCCACGCGCTCGGCTCTAATAGTCGCGGGACCGGGCCGGCTCGAGCTCGCGACGCAACCTACGCCCCGGCCCGGCCCGGGCCAGGTGCTCGTCCGGGCCGCGTGCGTGGCCCTGAATCCTTCCGACGCCAAGATGGTGGACGCCGGCGTGCCCATTGGCTCCGTGGCGGGGCTGGACTTTGCAGGCGTCGTCGTGGCCGTTGGTCCTCCTGGTCCCGAAGATGGCGCGGAGCCGAACAGGATGGAGATTGGAGTCGGCGCGAGGGTCTGTGGCCTAGCGTTCGGGTACAAAAGGGACGGCGGCGGCGGCGGCGTCGTCACGGGCGGGTTCGCGGATTACGTTTTGGCCGAGGCGCATCTTTTGATCCCCGTGCCGGCGGGCATGATGCTCGAGGACGCGGCCACGCTGCCGGTCGGGTTGATCACGGGCGGTATGGTGCTATTCCGGGAGCTCGGTCTGACCTCCAGGGAGAGAACGGTGCGCACTGCCGAGCCGGAACAGAGGGATGACGGTCCTGAAGAGGATGAGGATCGCGCGGTGCTGGTTTACGGAGGCAGCACGGCGTCGGGGCTGATCATGATGCAGCTGTTGCGGCAGTAAGGAGCACCCAACCCAGAAGAGAGACCATATGCAATCTGACGACACTTAACTAACCTTGCCCGCCGTCAACCAAAAAAAAAAAACAGCGCCGGCTTCGACCCCATAGCCGTCTGCTCCCCAAGCAACTTCAAGCTCGCCAAGTCCGCCGGCGCCACCGCCGTCTTTGACTACCACGCCGGGCCCGAGGCCTGCGCGGCCGAGATCCGCGACCACACTGCCGGCCGGCTGCGCCTGGCAATCGACTGCATCACGAGCCCGGACTCGATGCGCTTGTGCTACGGCGCGCTCAGGCTGCCTTCGGAACAACAGGCAGAGTCTGAGGGTGTTATTATGGGCGACTCGCGCTACGTGGCCCTCGACAGCTTCCCCGTCTCCGGTCACACGCGCCGCGCGGTCCGGCCCTCGTGGGTGTTTGCCATGACGGGCTTCGGCGCGCCCGTCGACTGGACGGGGCCCTATAGGTGCGATGCGCGGCCGGACCACCGTGAGTTCGCAGCGCGTTGGATGCGTGACGAGGCCCCGCGTCTACTGGAGCAAGGCGTCGTCAAGCCCCTGGCTAGGACCAGGGTTTGGGGTAGGTCACTGTTGAACGTGCAAGCTGGGTTGAGGGAGTTGAGCGAGGGGAGGGTTTCAGGGGAGAAGTTCGTTTGTGTTCTGGGTACTTGAGTCGCCGATAGTTGGTGGGTGCGTGTGGGGGAGGCTGAGAAGGGCAACGGGTCTAGCCGGGCAAGGATATGTTGTGAGCTGAATCCGTTCTCGGGGCCTCGTTCGTCAAAGCTAAATTCCAGAGTCTTTTTTTACCCAACGAATTTCGCCTCTCCATGCTTCTTCAGCCCCTGTGGGACGTTACTCGTGCTGGCGGCTACCATCATGCCCCGATGTCGGACCAGGGGCCGCAGAATGTCTGTTTCTGTTCGTTTCCTCTACACCGCTTGCATGATTCTTTCGTCTCCTCGGACCTCGTAAGATAGCCTGTAGGAAGCTCCTGACATCAGGTCGGACGTGACCGCAACCGCGTTACCGCACCAGCAACAGCTTTTTGTACAGCCCTCCCCGGTCCAATAACACAGCATCCACACGCCTCCCCCATTGCGACCCAAGTCTACCTACCACGCGTACAATGCCGACGTCCCCGGGCGCGAAAGTCCTCGTCATCGGCTGCGGCGTCGCCGGTCCCGTTGTGGCGTGCCTGCTCAAGCAGAAGGGCTACCGGCCTATTGTCTTTGAGCGCGCCCCCGCGCCGGGCGACATTGGCCAGTCAATCATCATCGCGCCCAACGGCATGAAGGTTCTGGCCAAGGCGTGTCCGAGTGTCGTTGACCGGTTCCTTGAATACGGCCCGCCGGTGTGCGAATTCCGGGAGCACAAGGCGTCGGGGGAGGTTCTGGGCTGGTTCGAGACGGGCTGGGAGGAAAGGTACGGCAAGCCAGGCGTCGGGGCCAAGCGCACCACAGCTACGGCATGGCTTCGCGACGCGCTCGTCGAGGTGGGGATAGAAATAAGGGATGGTTGGGGACTGGAGCGAATTGAGGAGGCCGAGGACGGCGGATCCGTCACAGCCTTCTTCGATGGAGGGCGCTCCGAGACGGGCTTATTTCTCGTCGGGTGCGACGGGCTGAAGTCAGCAACAAGGAGATTGTTGTTGGACCGAGGTGGCCTCAAAGACGGTGAGCCGTCTTTTACCGGTATATGCCAGGTAAAATTGTCAACACCGAAAGCCATTGCGGGTTTGCGGAGCTGACTTTCCGTCCACTTGTCCCCAGACCGGAGGCTTAGCCCCGACGCCAGCCTCCTTCCGAGACCACCGGGGCGTGCGCAACTACTACGGCGAGTCCTTGCACTTTGTCTGCTACGATATCTCGCATGAGACTGTGTCGTGGGGCCTGACGCAGCGGGCCGAGACGGGCACCGAGGCGGCCTGGGGCCTGTTTGACGACGCCAGTCGCCAAAAGACGACAGAGGGGCTAGGTAGCATGTTTGAAAATCAAGGCTGGGATCCGACCGTCGTGAAGATGATCCGCGGCGCCACGAGGCTCATCCGCTACGGCATATTCGACAGGCCGGAGCTGCCATCCGAGCAGTGGTTTTCGGGCCGCTGCGTCATGGTGGGCGACGCGGTGCACCCGACGAGCACGCACCTCGGCCAGGGGGCGAACCAAGCATGGTAAGTGGCACTCGCAGCTTCTCTCGTTGTTTTTGGGGGGGCAGCTGCTGACCGACCACACAGCGAGGACTGTTACTACCTGGCCGAAGCACTCCCTTCGTTCGACCTGGCAAAGCCCCCCATCAGCACCTCGGAGCTATCCGAGGCGTTCAGAGGATACGCAGAAAAGCAGCAGCCCCACACGTCGCACCTCGTCAAGGCAGCTCGGGCAGTCGGGGAGCTGCGTGTGACGGGGCCGGAGGGTCGCGAGGCGCGGGATAAGCTGGTGGCCGAGAGGGTGGGGGATCGGGCCCGTATAGACGCCCACTACGACTTCCAGTTCCGCAGGCCATATTGATTAATTAGCGACTGCACCACCCCTGCCAAGGGCGTTGCGTATCTTTCAATCACATGCACCTCCCTGACAATCTGTCACGTATCAGAAACGTGGGATCTGCTAGACCTGCGTGACGCGAGCGAACGCTCCGACACCGAAGCCACGGTCCGCCCGGTGCCGTACAGGGTCGGCATGAGAATAGGCTGCGGGCGGTTCCAGCAGGCACCTGATGATCCATGTGTCTTTGAGAATTGGAAAATGTAGTGCTAATTATATATCCTGAATATTAGCATACAAAGGGGGTATTTGACGGTTGTAGTGGTATGGAATAATGAAGTGAGGGGGGGCAGGGGCCGGAGAAAGCGTGCTGTCATTATGGAAGCGAAAGCGAAGCAAATAGCGAGATGGAGATAGAGAGAAGGAGGTCCCACCCGTCATGGCATCGGTATGTATCCAAGGTTCCTCCACTGCCCACCCTGATACAGGACATATCTGAGCTTGCCGCCATCAGCCTGGAAGAAGCACATGTTCATGTCTTCGCGCGCCGACAGCTTCATTGCCCTTTGGGAACCTCCGTCGTTGACCCCCGTGCCCTGTGTCAGGCAGGCAATGCGCGTCGGGACGTCGGCGCCGGAAAAGACGGGGTCGGACTTGGGGTCGGACCATTTGTTGTTGTTATTGCTGCTGCCGCCGCCGCCACCACCACCGACGGCGGCGGTCTGGGACACGAAGAGGATGCGGCCTCCGGCATCCTGGAAGAGTACGACCGTGTCGAGCGCCACGCCGCCTCCCTGCCGCGCCGTCGCGAACCCTGCCAAAGGCGACCCCTGTGGTATCTCGACGCCCAACGGACCTGACTGCTCTCTCAACACCCCGTTGTCCCCCCCGCGCGCGTGCACATTCAGCCTCCCGTCCTGCGCCCCCCTGTAGAAGAGCCTGACGGAGGGGTCCCGGAGCGGCGACGCGCCCTGGTCGACCTTCAGCGGCAGGGCCAGCAGGGGCGAGTCCTCGGCGACGTCGGTGGCCGTGATGTTGGGGAAGGGGCGCGCCATGTTGGACCAGCCGACCTCGTAGAACTTGCCGTCGGGGGCCTTGAAGTGCACATAGGGCCAGAGCGCCGACATGGAGCTCCTGGTGGACGCCATAAAGGGTTGTGTGTTTACACTGTCTGTGAGACCGCCCGGGTAGTGGTTGCGGAAGTTGACACCCAGGACCTTGCCAGTGTCTGATAGGTAGTAGAACTGGTATTGGGGCATATAATATGGTTGCTGGAAGAATCGGCATCAAATGGCCCAGATTAGTACAGCATTTCATCAAGGTCGGCTGTGGCTTTTTTTTTGCGACGTAAACCTCAGAGACGGTGTATCCACCAGGAGCTGGGGGGAGACTCGTTTTAACAATGTGTAACTTACATCTTCCACGTAGATCACGGTTGCGGTCAGCGGTCCCCCGGCCATCATCTTCTCCGCGGACGCGCGGACGATGGGTCGTGGCGCGTCCCAGGAGCCGTATGGGGCGGCAAGCTCGCTCACCATGATGCTGTCGTCGGGCGCCTGGTAGGCCAGCTTGACGAAGAAGTCGTCGCCGGACCGACAACCCGCGACGGCGATGGCCGAGTTGCCCCGAATGTACTTGGACGAGCCGTTCGCCGTCATCCCGGTTGTCGGGCAGAGCGGCGGCGGCGGACGTTTCGGGTCGGCTTCTCTTCCGTCTCCTCCATTGCCAGCACCGCTCGCGGGGGCGCAGGTGCTAGGGCTCTTTGTGGACTCGGTCACCTTCCAACCGACGACGCCGCCGACCGCTGCGGCTACTAGCGCAACCAGGATGGCGACTCCGACCAACAGCAGGCGCTGCCGCGGTGCGTTGTCGCTAACGGCACCAGAAGCACCCACACCGCTGGCGAGAGGCGTCGGCGTCGTCGGCGTGACCGGCGAGTGTTTGGGAGGAGGTGGGGTGAAGGCTCCCAGAGAATTTGTGATCTGGTGTTCGTCTTGCAACATGGGCGCCGAGGACCCTGCACTCGGCGGCACCGGATACAGGTGGTTGCCCGTCGAGTACGCAACCTCGGGACCCGTGTCATAGTGTCCGGCAGCGGTATGCTCTTCGTAGTATGCCGGCTCGACTGGAGGGCATTGTAGAGGCGGGGTTGGCTGTTGCTGCTGCTGCTGCTGGTGATCTTGCCAGTTCGCCATCATGGCCGATGGTGGTAGGCCACCGTCGAGGATGGCTTCCGCTGGTTGATTATTAGCGGTGCCTGGTATTTTCCAATAGCACCTCAAAATTCCGAGAGGAACAAATGGGGGACTATAATATTGAGTATGAGAGGTCCGCACCTGCGCATAATAAGAGCCGACACGGAGGAAAATAGGAAACGATGCCGGGGCCCCATCCTCCTCAGCTGTGGCTGTAATTGCAGATTTACAACACGCATGTCAGCCATGGACACTAAGATGCATCGCTGCATCCCAATTGATGGGGGATCAACCTTGGGCCGGGCGGCTGCAAGACTGCAAGGATCTTTGTGTCGTAGAGTAAGTGGTATTTACAGAGAGCATCATTGTATGCCCTCCCACCGCCCGGCCCCCTGGTGATTTCGCTTCGCCCCTTGCTGCATCGACGCTGGAGTGCGGCGCGGGTGCGGGGGGCCGAATAGCGATTGGATCGTGAGTGGTCATTGGGTTCTGCAGAGTACTTCCATTTTGAAACCGCCTAGCCCTAGGAGGGAACGGCCAAGCCTTTTAAGCGCCGCTCTATATGCGGGGGCCATTCTGGATGCTACCCATCCAGATCCTACAGCCTGGGTTGTTGGTTGGCGTTTGGATGTGGTAGCACGAGGTGGTTGCCTTATCGCATCAGGGAGACCGTAGGAGGGAAAGACGTAAATATAAGGCTATCCCGAAGGGTGCCAAGAGTATCTATCGCCAGGCCTCGTGTATATCAAGGCGTGGGCGATCTATCTGTGCGTGTCCTGAGCCTCCAAGTGAAGCCATCCGTGTGCCGTGCGAGCGATGGAATAAGGTCTCCGCTCGTCACGTGACGATGGGTCCGTGCACCGCACTCAACATGCCTGGTGCCATTGGTCGCCTGATCGCGTTCCAGTCGATCCTCGATACCGACTTCTTCTTTTCCGTCTCAAAAGAGCCTCGCAAAAGGATTCAGCATACAATCGACACGAAACGCCACTAGCGACGGGATCAAATCAAAAAGTCCCCGAGATGCCGGCCTAGGCGATAAGCAGACCCTCCTTTTGAGCTCCGCGCGGACGAGGACCACGGCGGCCGCCAAGCACGCGCGCGCACGGGAGATCGCCACCAGACTGTACCGCAAGGCCCGGGATCTCGAAGGCGGTGTCCTCCCCGCCCCGACGGCGACGAAAGCAGTCACTAAGCCGACATCGAATGCCGCCCCTACCGATACCAACACCAACCCCAACACCACATTTCCTCTTCCGGGCGACATCGCTATCCCCAACGACGACAATACTCTCAAGCTCGATCCCCAGCCCCACCCACTGCGGCGTCAGCTCCATTAGGCATGTGCATAAGCTCTGAAAATTTGTCGACGATACCACATGTCAACCAGCCAAGGCGCCAGTCGGCTGGCGCCTCGCCTTTTCCGCTACCAGGTTTAACGATCAGCGGCAATACAGCGTAACGTTATCCCTTAAACCCTTCACGTGCAGAATAGCTCTCAGCGAGTCGGAAACATGAGTTGGTTATCTTGTTCCAAGTCATATTTAGGGCCTAGGTACGAAGAACACCAAAGAACCAATCTGCTTGCCTAAGATACACAATCCCTCCTCGCCTTGGTGTATACAGGGCGAGGAGCATCTTGGAGACAACAGCCCTTTCACTTCCAATGGGGAAAAAGATGTAACAAAAGGTGATTGAGCCTCGTTTCAGCTCCATCCCAGGTTTCCCCATCTCATTCAGTCATTCATCCCCACCGCAATCGTCAGACTCATCGGGCGTTTGGCTATGAATGGCCGGTGTCCCAGACCCTGGAGTCGCGTTGGCGCCGTCGGATGTGCGGCTTGTCGTTGTTGGAGAGTGGGTCATACTCTTTGTCGACTCTGAGGTGGAGAGTTGACCACGTGTGGCCTCGGGCTCCGTCGACAAAAAGCTCCAGCCGCTATCACTGGCGCTACCCCCGAAGCCCACGGTGACGGTACTCTTGTGTGCCGATGATGTAGGCTCCGAAGGAGTAGGCATCGATGTATCATCCACAACCGTGACTGTAACGGTCTTCCGGGTTGAAGATGGATATATCGAGGAGCCGCTGTCGCTGACAGTGACAGTTACTGTCGTCCTCCGCCAACTCGAAGATGAAGAAGCGGAAAGAGGTGGCTGGGGGCTTGCACGGTCCAGCGTCACGTGGTCTCCAGGTCCGAAGATCGACATGCGACCACCTCCAGTCGTTGGGACGGGGCTGAGAGATGACACCGCCGTCGACGTTCGGGCAAATGGCGACGATGAGGGTGGGCCAAAGGGGTTCGAGCTCTGGGCAAGCTGTGGAGGCTGTCCACAGAGCTGTTGCCAGTTTCCAAAGCAAAGGTAGCCGGCTTCGCCTTCCGTGGCGGCAAATCCTCTAGGACCACCCCAAGACAGGCCAGGCATGCCTGAGCCAGCACCGTAGCCTCCACTGGAGCCCCCACCCCCAGTTCCAGAGCCGCCTGTTCCACTGCCGCCTGAACTGTCGTCTCTGTCACCATATCCATCATATGGGTCTTCAGGTTCACCTGAGCTCCTCCTCTGAGCGCTGCCTGTGCCCCGACCATTCTGGAACTTGAAGACGGCAACGGTATCGGTGAACCCAGATTTGTTCTCCTTCCAGTAGGCTAGGTCAGTACCCTGGCGATTGATCATGCTGACAACACCAACTGTGTTGAGGTTGTAAAGTGATACGTCAAGAGTATCGCTCTTAGTACTGCCTTGACTGCTTGCCGAGGGGCTGAGAGGGTCAGCGCCAATGTAGAGAATTCGGGCTTGGCACTTCCCCAAGACCCCCTCGTGTGTCTTGAAGCCTTCCTGGCAGCATGATGTGCTCCAATTGTTGAAGAACGAGTAGAGCCCGGCGCCATAGATGACCACGTTCTTGCTTCCGATGATCCTCAGGCCCCACCCCATCTCGCAGGGTGGTTTTCCTGGCAGACTATCTGCGAGGGTGAGCATTAGCGGCTCGTCCGCGGAGGGCTCCGCAGCACCGGTACCGTTACCCATCTTGGCTCGGCAGTCGAGCGCGAAGTTGGGGTCGCTGATCGTCTGGTTCAGTGTAGTGAATGGGAACGGCGCTGGCGGGTTTGGTTGGTAGTACGCCGTCTCGGTCTGAATCTGCCCCATCCATATGTTTTTTGTGTGGGCGAGCTGGTATTGATACAATGTGTGATGCTCGACAGAAGTCCCGACCAGCCAGATTCGGCCGGCCTTGGACTCAATGAGCAGTCCACGGCCGGCGTAGATCGAGATCTGGGTGTTGTTATAGTCTTCAATATCGTGGTCAGCCACCCAGAACCAATTGTTCTCCATGTACAGGCCGCGGGCCGACTTGGTGATGTGACAGGACATATAGGCGGCAATGCACTTGGCGTTCACATCGTTGAGCTTCTCGGGTGTCTTGAGGCACTCGGCCACCTGCAATCCAGAGCCCGCAAATCCACCGATTCGAGTGTGCACGTCCCACATGCCAGACGGGGGTGTGCTTTGTGAGGTCAGCTTGCATGTGCTACCGGTGTAGGTCGCAAGGTTATACTCGATCAGCACGGCGCCCGCGGTGGCTCCCTGCGTAGAGACGAAGACGTCTGAAAACTCCAGATATCCCTTGTCCCCGGGCTTGCCAACTTGGACCACCGCGTGTGGCCGGTCGATATGCGAAAACTTGGGACCAGCAGCCATAATGACAGACGACATGGCTTCTCCGACAACACGGAGATTAGGAGGGAAGAACACTGTCGGGAGAACGTTAGATTGCGGTCTTGGATGAGGATCCTGGCAGGCGGGATTACGGAACATACCCGTGTCGGTGACCCTGTAATACCCCGCGTCAATGAAGGCGACGACTCCCTCGGAGTGCCTCTTGGATGCATCTCCCATCAGTCTGTTCAAAGCATCGGTATCGTCTGTGACACCGTCGCCGCTGGCACCGTAGGTCCTTGCAGAGAGGAACAAGCGAGCAGGGGTGTCATGATATTGTGGCTGTGATGCCTTGATCAGTAGACATTCAGGGGTCACAGGTCAAGAGCCGAAAGACTCAGTGATGCGCCTCCGCCCTGGGAGTGCATGACACGCACCTTGGATCGTTCGTAGTACTTCTCGCCTGCTGTGAGAGCCTGCGGTACGGGGAAGGACGACGCGTCTGAGGCCTGGTATACGCTAGGGCCATATGGCGCGTAAACATTTCCCTATGGACTCGTCAGCTCGCACGACCGAGCCTCGATGGTAGGATCTCGCTGGTAGCGGCTTACATGACCAAAGCCTCGTTTGATGACCGTTGCCGAAGGAGACCCCTTGATGATGTCGCCCTTGGCTCCCTTGAGAATGGTGCTGACATTCCTGAACTGGACGTTTTGGATGACAAGAGATCCGGCGCCTGGCTTCTCCTTGTGTGCAGGATCCCGGCCGGTGGCGATGCCGATGTCGACATTGTTGAAGTGCGAATCGAGCAGGGTAACAGAGCCGACAGACGAGCTAGTCATGTCAATTCCGGTCCTGCAGTTGTTGATCGTCATTGACTTGTAAGTCCAGCCCCAGTCCCAGATCTGAAGGATGGCCGTCTGGGAGCCGTGGAAGGTGAAGTTTCGGGCCGTGTATTGCTGGTTGCCGAACTATTTATTGCACCATTGGAACAATTCCATGCTTGTCAGTGGCCTGGCAGATGGTAAATGGGCCATGTGTAGGAACGGGGGTGGACTCACTTGTGCTCCGTATTCGCCGCCGTAGAAGACTAGGTCATTGAGCATGCCTCCGCTGCCTTCCTCCATGAAGATTCCAGACTGGTGGCGGTTTGGATCGTAGGACATGCGAAAAACGACGTTCTGTATCGAGGTCGCCTGTGAGGAAGGCCAGTGGATGCCGCAAATGGCGCCGGGGACCTGCCGCATGTCCAGAATAAGATTTCGGACTGCGCCACCTGTTAGACACCATGGTGGAACAGGAAATGTGTGCTTTAGTCGGAGGGTTCGGCTTACTTTGGCGGAAGAAGGTGTTCGTGGCTCCGTATCTGAGATATCCCGTCCTCTGGTATGGGTTGGCCTCGATGAGACCAAGCCCGTTTGCCCGGAAGTTCTGGGTGGCCCGAATCACGGGCATTGACGTTGGGTCGCCGATCATCTGGGTGTAGTAATAAGAGACGATGGAGGAGGAGATCAGGTATGTGCCTTTGGGGAAGTAGACGACAGCGGGGGTGGTGGTTGTTCCAGCGCAGGGGCTGTCGCCACCGCATCTGTTGCCAGAGCTGATGGCCGTGTTGATGGCGTCGGTGTCGTCGTGGACGCCATCTCCCTTGGCACCAAAGTCCTTGACGTTTCTGAAGACCGTGTATGACTTGTCCGGGTTAAAGGGCGAGATCCCGCGGTGTGGGATATCCTCCATCCAGTATTTAGCGGCAGCGGACGAAATCAGAGCCGTGAGGAGGTAGAGCGTCTTGAGGCGCATCTTGGCGAGTAAAAGGGGTAGAAGGTTGTACCGAGGGGTGTCCGAGGTTCTAGGAGGCCAGCGATAACATTGATGCTTAAATGAAATGCTGATAGGATCCAAAGGATTGCTGTTTGCGATGATGCGAGTCTCAAAGGAGTGGACGGGGCGAAAATAACGGGAAATGGAGGACTTTCGAGGACGAAGTTGTTGCTGGGTAAGGGATGACAGAGGGATCAAGTCAGTCTGCCCAAGAGGCCCAGCAAGCAGGCAGCCTTGGTTCAATTGCCGTGGCTCGTGATGCTGGCTGCCTAAAAGTCGCTACGATCTGGCTGGGAAGGCGCGTCTGCGAGGGATCACCATCTACGGAAGTCGCGCGGTGCCGCCAGGACGAACGATCAAGGCTCACCTGCCCGCATCGACGGATGGAAGTTACAGCCTTGATCACAACCCCCTTCGCCCTTTCCGCCAAACAAGTTTTTATCTTCCTAGGGGTTTCCCAGAACCTGCGGCCTTGGGCTCCCGTTGGCGATCCATGTATTTTCCACCTGCAAGGAGCTATCGATTGCTTTGATCCAACGCAGTTTTGGAAATGGACATGGAAGTCCTCTTTCATCAATTCAAGGTCGCGATTTTGCCTGTGGGTTCAAGATCGTGAAATATTCCAGCGCTGCCAGCCGGCATTTGCGCAAACCCGGTCCGAGCCGTAGCACACTCTGCCGATTTCAACACCCACACACCTACCACTCAACTATAGTCAGCTGAATGATACCTCTTCGCATGCACCTCACTCTGTGGTTTTTTCAGCCAATGTCGTTCATGGGCTTAGTCAGCTTGGTGTGGTGCTTGGAAGGCAGCCAATGGGATCGTGAGTTTAGCCATTATCCAACCCTTTGGGCATTGACAAGCACATGGATCCATGGATTGTGAAGTACCTACCAAATTCCACCGATCCCATAGGGATCAAAGTCATATTATCCGATCACCCAGCACTTGCAGGCTTAGCACTAGGAACAACCCCGGCGGATGGAGCGGCCCTTTTCGAGAACATCAGGAAGACACCACCGACAATAGCGAGCCGGAAGAGCCCCCAGGATGGCACGGGTTGTCATCACTGGCTTGGGTTCCTTGGTAGCCAGCAACCCTTCTACCACACTCCCTTATTCCCTCTCTCGCGTCCGCATTTCTATATTTCCCATCCCTCCCGAAACGCCCTACTCAAATTTCGTTGTATCGGCCCCGGAGTGCAGTCTCACAGGCCACCGCCCCCGCAACTTCTGTCGCGGCTACGAGTGAGATGGCGTCTCATTCACTAGTAACACCGGTCAGGACTCTTCGCCCCGCCGCCGCGATGTCGAGGCTCGGGCCGGCCAGTTGACCCCGGGGCACGCCTCGGTTCCCTCCGGGTTTGGCACCTCGTCCCTGTCACGGAGGAGCGATGCGATACTCCCGCAGGGCACAAGTAAGCAGCTCCAGTTCGATGATGCCATTAGCCATGTGTCGGATTGCATACCTCACATCTGAAACGAGGGCCAAAAGGGCCGGTTGACAAGCTGTCAGCTGAGGTTGACGTGGGTGATCAGATCCCCAGAAACCATTGCCCATATTTACCAACACCATCCTAGCGAATTATACAGTAGACCACCCAGCACCGGACCCTGAAGCACAATAGCCACAGCTCAAGTGTCTCCAAACACAAAGACCCCCTTACCCTTGCGGAATCCCTGCAGCGTGCCCTGGACGGCCGCCTTCAGGACCTCCTCCTCCGTGTCCCAGTCCCACCTAACCTCGTCCACAGGGGCGTCGCGGAACTTGCCGGTGCGGATGAGGCCCAGGATCTCCTCGATCGTCTTGCGCTTCGACTCCCTGTCACCGTCGGCCCACCTACTGAGCCAGAAGCCACGGAAGCGGAGGTCCTTGAAGATGAGCAGGCCGGTCGGCAGCGCAACGGGCTGCCTGGACATGGCGCCGTACGTGACCATGGTGCCGCCAGCGCCCAGCACACGCGCCATCTGCGTCGCCGACTTGCCGCCCACGCAGTTGAGGCCGAGCATGACGTCGGCCCCGCGCGTCCACTCGTCATGCATGCGGGCCGGGAACCCGCGGTCCAGGAACTCGGCCTCGGTCACGACGGCGGTGGCGCCGAGGTCCTCGAGCTCGCGCTTGAGCGCAGCCGTGGCCTCGGGCGTGTCGCGCTCGCGCACCACGTTGACGGACCGCAGGCCGGCCAGGCGGCCCAGCTGGACGGCCGCGCGCCCGACGCCGCTGTTGGCGCCGTTCTGGACGAACCAGGCGCCGCCGTCGGCGCCGGCCCCGCTGCGGTACGCCCGCACGCTCAGGTCGACGAGGTCGACGTAGTCGCGCAGCATGCGGGCCGCCGAGCACGGGTTGACGCTGACGGTGGCGGCCTGCAGCGGCGTGAGCGCCGCGCCGTCGCCCTCGGGCACCCGGATCAGGGCAGCGTCGGCGTTGTCGACGAGCGCGTGCGTGCGCCACGTGCCCAGGCCCGTCGACGCCGGTATGACCCAGTCGCCCGGCTTCAGCGTCTTGACCCCCGACCCGACCGAGATGACCTCGAAGCAGCCCTCGTTGCCGGGGACCGAGGCCGGCTCGGGCGTGCCGATCATGGCGTCGAAGGTGGGCTTGACGCCGTATGTGCCCTGTATCAGGTTCACGTCGGCCGGGTTGATGGGCGCCGCGAGGGCGCGGAGGGTGGCGGCGTGCTGGGGGATCGAGGGGGATATCGAGTGGGTGTGTAGCCTGCGCAGGGGAGGTGTAAGCGTCAGCATGGTCCTTTACTTTGTTCTGTGGCGCGAGCGGAGATCCAGGGAGCCTACTTCAGGACATCGCTGGGCTCTCCAGGCTTAGAAAACACGAGAGCCTTAGTCTGAGTATAGCCATAGGGGCCAGATTTGAGCCTTGCCGTCGTCAGAGGCAGACATCTTGCCGCCGTCCTCCTGGGAGCCTTGGAGATCGATCTGGTGAGCGCCAGGAGGGGCGAGGTCGCCAGCCTCGGCGCTGTCGCCATTATCGGCTGATAGTGTGAAAGATGTCGTCGATGTCCAATTGACCGCCTTTACCACCAGCAATCGGAAAGAGTTTGTGCACCTTGTAGCGGTGGCTTCGAGCTTGTGTTGAAGCACGCTATTGTCGCCGCGTCGAACAAAAGGCTGATTCGTGGACTGTGATGATGCAGCAAAGCTCAGCAGCGATGACGTTGAAGCTCCGTCAAGCTCCAACCAATCAAGACAGCCCGCGCCGTCCACCAGTTCCCTTCCCCGCAAACGTGCACACCCTTGTCCCCATGTTTCCGATCCTGCCCTCGCGGAGCAAAGGGGCAGCCACACGTGATCAGGATGAGGAGACCTGAGAACCCATTTGTGTCCGGTCCAAATGCCATTATGTTTGCAAACCGCTTTTCGGGCCGTTGGCACAAGCGGCGGCCACGCGGCCAAACACCATGGTCAGCCGGGAAGACAAGCCGCTTCGAGGCGTGGCCCATTTCGACATGGTTCGCCCATCACGGCCGTCAAAGAGGGAGCCCGCTGTAGCTGCCAGGCCTTGCGACCGCTACAAGAGCTGGCTTCGATCCGAACGATGCACATACGCCCCACGGCGGTGTCTGTGGGTATTTTCGACGCCAAACCGGCAGCGGCATTGCGGACCCAGCTCCTTGCACCAGCTTGCATAGCTCAGTCAATGACAGCCTGTAGGCCGCCACCCCAAGGTCAAAGCGGCGCTGCGGCCTGCCAATGAACCCCTCCCCCACCGGGGTGGGTAGCAATGCGTATGTACTTGAGGAGACAAAGTACGTTGCTGCATTCGGGCTTTTCGAACCCATTGTGCGCCCGTCAATGGCCGAAGTCAGAACATGACCTGTCCGGACCTGACGCCCTGACGCGGAACAGCATTCATGGAGTGAACAGGTTATTCAGGCAGAACAAAACAAGTATTGTCATTGCCTGGCGCTTTCAAACCCAAATGCCTGCTGTACATGTTTCGATTCCGCAAGCGATGGGAGGGAAGCCGCCAAGACTCGCTATATTAATAGAGGTGTGAGTGTAGCGGGGCAAGCCATGCAGCATAAAATGGACGCCCCAAGGACCCAATCCCCAAGAAATCCCCGTTCCAGTAGCGAGGATTGGTGTCCTTATCCTATATGGCTAGCTATTAAATAGTGGTGGGGACACGTGAGACAGGATATGCGGTGGTGACGGACAGGTGGGGATCAAGAGTGATATTCAAAACAAAGCAGACAGGGTTAGGCCGTGGAAGTTGTCCAAGCGGCACCCTAGAACAGGCGCGTGAACATAGAGGAGTAAGAGCAGGTAGCAGCCCTGGGTAATGCGGGAGGTCATGACAAAAAAAACCGAGTATCAAGCGAAGAATAAAAGAAACTGAGGGGGGACGTGAAGGAAGCGGGACGTTGTATGTAAAGGAATGTGGAGCTCAGTCAGATGCTGAGCTGGGGTATCGATTCACGCCTCTCTCTCTTTCTCTTTTTCTCCTCTCTCAATGCCCGTCTCGTCTCTGTTTCCAGTCAAAGGCAGGGCGATGCAGCGAAGCTGAAGAGACCCGCGGGGGTTCCCTCAGGGCCCTGCTGCGGTCGATCTCAGCTCGGGGGAAATGCGAAAGTTCGTATCTCATCCATGCGCTTCAATCTTCAAAGAAGCGAACGAAAAGCCAATAAAAACGAGGAAAAGATGATGCGTGAGAGAAACAATGGTAAAAACGGGGTTCCGCTGCAGGTAGCAAGCGTAAAGGGGACATAAAACATGCCAGGAAGAAGCAGAAGGTGGGGTGAAAGGAGAAACAACAGGGGCAAGTGCAACCAAAATAGAAAGGTAAGCGCGGATGATTGGCCCAGGGCCAATCATCACTTGATATTTTTGAACAAGTCGGCGCTAAAGTCGGTGTCCGCGTTGAGATCGACTTTGGAATCGAGAGCGCTGAGCTCGGGTATCATGGGCGGTGGCGGGCCGGACTGCTTGACGTCCTCGAATAGCACTGTGGCCCTCCTATTGACGCCGTCGTCACCGCCGCCCCGCAGCCGGCGGAACCACGAGCTTGACCGCTTCGACCTCTTGCCGTCCGTCATAACGCTGAAGTTGCTCCGGCTCTCGGGCCTTCCGTCCAGGCTGTTACTGCCGCCCGTGGTGTAGTTGTTGCCCTCGCCCTCCGTGTAGGATGTGTTGAGGAGATTCCGACTGAATAGTCTCCGGATGCTGCCAGGCTTTGATGAGGTGGGTGAGACCGGAGAGATTGGCTGGTCGGCAGGGCGTTTCGTGCCTGCCTTGATAAGTGACATTGGCGAGCCGACGTCCTCCATATCGGCGTCATTTCCTTCATTGGCCGATGCGGTGCCGGTTGCCTGCCTGGTCTTGTCAGCGGCGGCGGTAGGAGTCTCGATTTGTGGCGGCGCCTCCTCGATGGGCGACGGCAGAGGCGGCGGGATATCGGTGCCCTCGGTCAATGGTGTGAACTTGAAATCGAGGGCAGGCAGCTCGAATCGCTTGGCGCCTGGTTGGGGCGTTGCGCCATTGCTCTGTGTTCTGGATGGCATGGCGGGCGGGCTGGCCGTCCGGGGGACGGGAGGCGAGTGGGCGGTGGTGGTTCGGCGTTTACTAGCCGGGAGAGATATTCCTCCCTTGTGTGGTGATCCAACGGGGATGCCACGCGTGGGCCTGTCGAGCGGCTGATCAGGGCGTAGTTGGTGAAATGTACCCTTTCTCTGCAGGTGAACTTATGCAGGGAAGAAAGAGAGTGAAAAAAAAATAGATAAGATGAAATGCTGAGAACAATCCAGCAGGCTACGTCTAAGCGGTTTCCTGATTGTCAGGAGGCACGTTGTCGCTGGGCCTGGAGTGATTGACGCTTCTTTGGGATTAGGTAGGTGGGATTAGGTAGGTACCTTCGAGGCTGGTACGGTACTTGTGGTTAGGTCCAGGGCAATTGGACTGACACGGCGACCATAGAGCGGCTTTTCTTGTTTGGGCAGGCTTCGAGAGACAAAAAAAAAAAACAGTGAGGAGTGGAGGAAAATGGGTGGGAACTGGTGCAAACGAAAAAGAAGATGGTCTGAGCGAAAGGCGACGGGGCTTCTGCGGACGAGCGCGAGGAGAAAGGCGACACCCCAGGAGGGCAAGGTGGATTTTGCGCTCGGTCGTCCGTCGGCCGGGGTGGTTGGCTCACTTTTCAAGAGCTGGGGTCTAAGGAGGAGGCCGCCGCTTGCGTTGGTGGTCGACGCGCGGGAGATCGCTGCAGGACGAGAAGCTGCTTGGGGGGAGGGGAGCCAATGGCGTCGGGCCCGGCAATGGCTGCGGCAAGTGAGTGGAGGCAGGCCTGGGCTAGCCTGGGCTGGGTTGCTGGTGTGCGTAGCTATTCACAAACAAAAGAATGCAGATGTGCGGCCGTGGTGGTGGTGGGTGGGTGGTGGCATGCAAAACATAAGAACAAAAAGTCCGCTGTCAGGAGGCGATGGGCCCAAAATGAGATGGGTGGGAACCATAACCCGGCGATGGCAAATGACGTGGAGAAGAAACGGCAGGCAAACTTGATAAATGGGGGCCCTTTCCTGGGCAGAGCGTTCGGGAATCCTACGCAATTGAGACGAACGGAACTGAAAGGGTCTTTCCCGGTGCAGTCACGACTTGAGGATGGAGATGACGGGCCCCACGCGCATCGCCGAATCGGCCATTCACAGCGGTGTGCCTCGACCGCGGTGGGGTAATGGACTGCCCAAAGCGGTAGGTCAGGGTGGTGGTGGGCGGTGGCAGGTTGCACCCAGCGAGGTGGAGACTGGGGCCAGACAAACGAAACGGCAGCGGGACGATTTGACAGAAAACGTTTCCCAACCAAAGCCTGGGCCACCTAATCTAGGCCGTTATAGAATCAAAATGCTGTGCGTGGCTATCGGGTGCTCAGATCTAGCCCAACAGACGAGCAGTTCCATGATGTAGGCATTTCGGTGTACTCGAATCCCGTTCCGTGGTGACGCTGCGGCACCCAGCTGGAATCATCACCGAGTCTAATCAAAGATGTCGCACAAGGTCGGCTCGCCTCGCAGCATTGGGTTCCACGGATCCAGCCTGCTACAGACGTCTCAGAAGACGAGGAACGAAAGCATATGACACAACCGCAGGGCTTCCCAGGCCAATCAATGTTAGAAAGAAAATTATGCCAGGGGTCATACAAGAAGAGCAAAGACGGCCACGATGACGAGAAGAAGAAGATGAAAACGGGACGCCACGGTTTAGTACGGTTGGGAGGGAACATTGAGACCTAAGCAGCCAAGCGGGATATTTCCTGTGCGTTCCTAGCTCCAATAACCGTCACCAGCATCATCTCGTGAATCACCAGCCTCCCGTGCCGCTCGCGTCAGTCAACCTTGGACGATGCAGCTCGGGGGGTCCTCGGCAGCAGCCTTGCGGAGTGATGCAATGCAAGATCTCGGAGCTTCGGCGCAGCCACTGTGGCCCCCAATCGCGCACACGGCAGGCATGGAGGATGGGAGGGGATCAATGCTGTGTTCCTGAAAAGGGCCGCCTAGCATATCAGCCATGCCCGTGGGTCGACAAAGATAGGGGAAGCGGTGCCGGTCAGCCCCCCCTCGGCAGTCAGACCTTCTGCAGTCAATCATGCAGCGCTCCCAAACAGGAAAAAAAAACAATAACCAGGATGGGGCGTGTCGCGTGGCGGGCATGGCGGACATGGCGCAAAAACCGCTCCCGCTCGTCAGTGCGCTCGCTCCCATTCAATCGATTGTCCTGGGCAGGGACAGGTTGGCGACGGGAGGCATTATGTCGGAAGCTGCGACTTGATTCATGGATCGACCGTTTGACCGTTATGTTTGAGGTTGCAATCGAACAGCAAGGACAAATGCGCGGAGCAAATTAGAAATGCCAATAGAGAATGCGTTATTGAAACGAGTCCAAATCCGGGATTCCTGCATCGCGACGCCGAGGATCATCTCGCTAGGCGAGGTAAACAGGCCGGCTGGGATCTGGAAGCAAAAAAAGAAGAAAAAACCCCCCGTCACCACATAAAAAAAAAGACGGAGAACGCACACGCAATCGGTAAAGAGGTCGATGACCCAA